TAGAAAAGAGGGGGGAAGAGGGGACAGTGAGCAGAGTTAGACATTGGGAGGGAAGCCAGTGAAAGTGTCTGTGTAGTCACACAGCAGATGTCCTCTACATATGTAATTGAAAAGTTTTGTCACATACACTGCCTCAACAGGATACTAAGGGATATGTGTTCAACCAATTTGTAGTGCTGCAGGAAACACAGTGACCTTAACCATTTCCATTCTGGAAAGGCCAACTTTTTGCTACTGTTATGGGCCAAAAGCAGTTGTGATCCTGGACCTTGAAATGTCACGCAGATAGCAGTGAAAGAGATAATTATGGAATAAAAACAGAGGGTAAAATGGGAAAGAAAAAAAATATTTGACACAAAATGGGCTTCCATGAAAAAAGAGGGGAGGGGGTACTCCTAAATTGTATTTGAATTGCCAAATTACTCTGAGAAGCCATAGGGGCTGTTGCTAAAACTGAGATACAATTTAATGCTTACTTCTGTACATCTTTGACTGCTGCATAGTGGGGGTACTCTCCAACATTAGGAGGCTGTATAGCCTAGCTGCCATTTTTCCAAGAAAGGTAAACACAGAATAAATGCAATCATTGTTTAGAGTAAATTGGAGAGGAATCCAGACAAGAAGTCAAATAAATATGTTAGTGTTCAATGCTATTCAAAAATATTACTATTGAGCAAAGGGTCATAAAAGTGTTTACTATGGGTTTTAAACAATTCTGTTCATCCAGATTCAGCCAAATGTTCTGTACAGAACTGGAACTTTTTATTCACATGACTCTGTGCTGTTCACTCTCTCTATAAGAGCTACAGAGTATTGTACTCTGTAGCTCTTATATTATTTCAAAATAATATTTAGCCAGCTGCTCAGTATGAATTTTGGAGTGCAAATTTGGAGCCACTTACCAGGAAAGCTGTGTTGCCTGAGTGACTCTAAGCTTTCATGTTTGACTGCAGTTGAAAACTCAAAGGAGAGGTAAAGTCTTTGATGAAAATATTTTACCATGGGCTATATAAAGATCAAAAAGCAAATCCAGCCAATTTTATTTCTAGTTTTGCATAGAAATTTAAAAGGTTTAAAACCTCTGTCAGGTTTTTATTGTTGTTTGTGCTTCTATTACAGAGATTTTCCATTACTTTCTACTCAACACACTGAACAGCAAGTCAAATTAAATCCTGCCCTTAGTAGCAGAGACAGGTGTTCCCATAGGAAGTTTACATAATGTTGCCTTTGTGTCTACTGTTCCTGTAGGCTGCACCACAGAATTTTCACACTCAAGTTTGTCTGACAAATTAATTGATTTGGAAAAAAAATTATGGGAACGGCTCCGAAGGCAATGAAATGCACATTGCCAAGCTAAAGGGCACATGAACTCCCCCACTCCCTGTACTCTATGCTTCACAAAGATCCATGTATGCACAGTACAATTTCACTCTACAAACGGATCCCTTATGCTTTTTGCTAATGTACAATGTATTTTAAAGATAGCCTTGCATGCTTGATACCATTTTATTCCTAAGTGATATGCACGTTTAACAATGCTAACAGTGGTTGGATATACCCAACCTTATTAGAGAACATCACATGTTTATTCTAATTACATGTACATTCCAATGTAAACCACCATTAATAGTAAATCCTGCATTTACAAGCCATAGGTTGTGCGCGCATGGATCATGGGTGCATGGTAAGTTCAGTGCTTTCTCCATTCCTGATCTCCCTAGAGGAGCACCTCCCAATGAGGATCTTGCCTACATCATTTATTTTTACCTCCCAAGTATAAAACTTTGCATTTTTAAATATTGAACCACTTCTGCCATGTATCTGCCCACTCCCCAATTTTATTAAGATCTTCTTGTAGTGATTATTTATCCTGTTGTGAAGTTATTGCCCTACATGAGTAGCTATCATCTGCAAACACTGCAATTGAGCCATTACCAACCTTAATATTATTTATAAACAAGATATGGTCCCGGGACTGAACCCTAGAGTACTCTTCTCACAACCTTAGACCATGCAAAAAATGAGCTATGTCCACTGGCTTTCCTCTAAATTACTGCTCACATTCTTATAGAATGCTAATAGGTCAGTCTGACAAGAATGGTTCTTCATAAATCAATGCTGGTTGTTACTTATGATACCGTTTTCACAGGCAAATTCTTGGATATAGTCCCTTACCATTCCTTCCAATACTTTGCATACTGTTGATGTTAGCCTGGCTGGTCTGTAGTTACCTGGTATACTCCCTAACCCATTTTTGAATATCTGTACCACATTTGCCAATAATTTGGTCCTATTCCAGTCTTTAAGGTGTCCTTAAAAATTAGGAACAATGGTATAGCTATACCTTGGCTAAGCTCTTTGAGGACTGGTCCTAAAGATTTGTTTACATTAAGTTCTTCTAGTCTTTTGTACCATAGATTTGTGTCAGTCACCGAGGTGCCTTCATTACATTGTTATTAGCATTACTGGTTTGTTTATTAAACCCGCCTTTTTCGTCTGTATAAACTGAAGAGAAGAATTCATTTAAT